ACGCGAATTCTCAAACATGAAGCGTTCGCCTGAGACATCCTCAGAAAATTGAGATGTCGGAGATCGGGCGTCGGATATCAGGCATGGCGTGGAGGAGCGTTTCGCTTGAGACATCCTCGCAACAAGGCGTTGTTGGAAGAGTTGTCTTCTAACGTTGATGCTCAGGAATGAAGCGTTCGCCTGCGACATCCTCAGAAAGATTAGATGTTGGAGATCGGGCGTCGGATATCCAACATGGCGTGGAGGAGCGTTTCGCCTGAGACATCCTCAGAAGATGGGGATGTTGGAGGAGTTGTCTTACGGCGCTGCTTCTCAAACAGAAAACTTTCGCCTGCGACATCCTCAGAAACATGAGATGTTGGAGATTGGGCGTCGGACACCCACCATGGTGTGGAGGAGCGCATCGCCTGAGGCATCCTCACAATATGGGGATGTTGGCGGAGTTGTTGCACGACCTCGATCCTCAAAAAGAAAGCTTTCGCCGGAGAAGTGATCGGAAAATTGAGATGCTGGAGATTGGGCGTCGGTTATCCGACATGGTCTGGACAAGCGCTTCGCCTAAAACATCCTGACAAAATGGGGATGTTGTAGGAGCTCGCTTACGACATTGATCCTCAGAACGAAAGCTTTCGCTTGAGACATCCTCGGGGAAATGAGATGTCGGAGATCGGGCGCCGGAAATCCATCATGGTGTGGAGGAGCGTTTCGCCTGAGACCTGGTTCTTCAAATTAAAGTTTTCGCCTGAAACATCTCCAAAAAATGAAATGTTGCAGATCGGGCGTCGGATATCCATTATGACGTGGAGGAGCGCATCGCCTGAGACATCCTCCCAATATGGCGGATTCCCGTTTGTCCTGTCAGCAGCCTCTCGGTCCCCGGCTTCACCCATCACAGGGTGCGACCCCAGCAACACCTTCCACACTGCCACTGTCAAACGGAAAGACCTTACAATGACATCAACAGGAAATTGTCGCCTGAGACATCCTCAGAAAAATGAACATGTTGGAGATCGGGCGTCGGACATTCAAGATGGCGTGGAGGAGCGTTTCGTTGCAGACATCCTCACACAATGGCGTTGTTGAAAGCATTATCTTACGACGCGAATGCTCAAGCATGAGGCTTTTTCCTGAGCCTTCCGCAGAACAATGAAGATGTTGGAGATCGGGCGTCGGATATCCAACATGGTATGGAGGAGCATTTCGCTTGAGACATCCTCACAAAGTGCCGTTGTTGAAAGAATTGTCGTACGAAGCGAGTTTTCAAACTTGAGGCTCTCGCCTGCGACATCCTCAGAAAAATGTGATGTTGGAGATCGGGCGTCGGATATCACACATGGTGTGGAGGAGCATTCCGCTTGAGACATCCTCGCAAATGGCGTTGTTGGAAGAGTTGTCTTACGACGCGAATTTTCAAACATGAAGCGCTCGCCTGAGACATCCTCAGAAAATTGTGATGTTGGAGATCGGGCGTCGGACATCAGACATGGCGTGGAGGAGCGGTTCGCTTGAGAAATCCTCGCAACAAGGCATTGTTGGAAAGGTGGTCTTACGACACGAATTCTCAAACGTGAGGCTCTCGCCTGAGCCATCCGCAGAACAACGAAGATGTTGAGAGATCGGGCGTCGGGTATCCAGAATGGCGTGGGGATGCGTTACGCTTGACACATCCTCACAAAGTAAAGATGTTGGAGGAGTCGTTTTACAGCGTTGGTTCTCAAAATTGGAGCTACCGCCAGAGACATCTTCAGGACATCGAGATGTTGGAGATCGGGCGTCGGGTATCCAGCATGGCGTAGAGGAACGTCTCGCCTGAGACATCCTCACAATATCTGGATATTGGAAGAGTTGTCTTACGACCCGAATTCTCAAATTGAAGCTTTCGCCTGATACACCCTCAGAGGTTGGAGGCCGGTCTTCGGATATTCAGCATTGCGTGTGTGGGGGGGGAGGGGCGTTTCGCCTGAGACATCCTCACACAATGGGAATGGTGGAAGAGTTGATTTACGTCATTGGTTCACCTAGTAGTGAAGCTCTCGCTTGACACATCCCCAGGAAAACGATATGTTGTAGATCGGGCGTTGCTAGAAGACTTGTCTTACGACCCGAATTCTCAAAATGAAGCTTTCGCCTTGGACATCCTCAGAAACGTGAAAATGTTGGAGATCGGGCGTCCGACATCCAACACAGCGTGGGAGGGCGTTTCGCCTGAGACATCCTCACAACGTGGCGATGTTGGACAAGTTGTTGTAGGACGCTTTGTTCTGAAAAAAAGAAGCGCTCGCCTTAGACATCATCAGGAAATGAAAAGGATATCCAACATGGTGTGGAGGAGCGTTTCGCCTGAGACGCCATCGCACCATTGGGGTGCTGGCGGAGTTGTGTTACGACGTTGGTCCTCAGAAACACTTACCCGTTCGCTTAAGATGTATTTAGGAAGTTGAGATGTTGAACGTGGGCATTGGATATCAAACTCGGTGTGGCTGGACGTTTCGCTGCGGACATCCTCAGAAACATGTTCAGTAAGCTCCCGAACTCGACGCGCCTTCAAGAGCTGGGCTCTCGTCCGAGACATCCTCAGTGAGGATGTCTCGGACAAGAGCCCATGTGTGAGGATTCCTCACAAATGGAAGCGTCACCAGAGAAGTCTGACAGCAGATTACTTGACATGAACTCCTTACTAGGTTCGTGGGCCCCTCAAACTTTCAGCATCTTGACGCACATGCCTCGCAGTGCGGTGCCCGCCTACTGTGAGCCATGACGCGGGGCAATGGGGAGGCCAGGCGCCCTCCGCACATGTCAATCGCACATGCCAGACACTCTCACCAAGAAGCTTGTCGCGGGGGGGCGCAACCAGGGGCCCTCCAGAAGGGCCCCCGTGGGCCATGGGGTTCACCGAACGATTTCGGGCCAAAACCCTCCCCAGCACCTCCCCGGCACCGGCGTCAGGGTTGCCCCTCACGGCACCCCGGGCGACCCCGGCACCCGGGCGACCCCGGCACCCGGGAGCCCCCCTGGGCGACCCCGGCACCCAGGTTTCCCTTGGCACCCTCCCCTTCGGGAGCGCTGGTTCTCAAACTGCTCCTGCCCTCGCCATTCCTCCCTGTCCCGTGCCCTTCCTCCTTCTCCTCCTCCTCCTGCGCCCCTCCCTCCTCCACTTCCCCCTTCCTCCTCTCCCTCTGACGCCTCCCCCCGCCATCCCATTGTGCAAAAATATCCTGGCGAGATGATATATTGTGAATCCCGTCGTTGTGAGCATCGCCCTCGGTAAACTCCCTGTGGAGCCACGAGCCGTGTGAGCGGTGTGCCGTAATGGAGGCGGCGGTGCCATGCGGACCCTGCCACTGGGGCTTTCGGCGGAGCTCCCTACGGGGCCACGAACCGTGCGAGCGCTGTGCCGACATGGAGGCGGCGGTGCCATGCGAACCCTGCCCTGCCACTGGGGCCTTCGGCGGAGCTCCCTATGGGGCCACGAACCGTGTGACGAGTATGCCGACATGGAGGCGGCGGTGCCATTCGAACCTGGTCACTGGGGCCTTCGGCGGAGCTCCCTGTGTGGCCACGAACTGTGTGAGCGATGTGCCGAGATGGAGGCGGCGGTGTCATGCGAACCCTGCCACCAGGGCCATCGGCGGAGCTCCCTATGGAGCCACGAACCGCGTGACCGGTGTGCCGACATGGAGGCGGCGGTGCCATACGAACCCTGCCACCAGGGCCATCGGCGGAACGCCCTGTGGGGTCACGAACCGTGTGAGTGGTGTGCCAAAATGGGAGCGGCGGTGCCTTGCGAACCCTGCCACTGGGGCCTTCGGCGGAGCTCCCTACGGGGCCACGAAATTTGTGAGGTGTGCCGAAATGGAGGCGGCGGTGCAATGCGAACCTTGCCACTGGGGCCTTCGGCGGAGCTCCCTATGGGGCCACGAACCGTGTGACGGGTGTGCCGACATGGAGGCGGCGGTGCCATGCGAACCCTGCCCTGCCACTGGGGCCTTCGGCGGAGCTCCCTATGGGGCTACGAGCCGTGTGACGGGTGTGCCGAGGTGGGGGCGGCGGTGCCATGCGGACCCTGCCACTGGGGCCTTCGGCGGCGCTCCCGATGGGGCCACGAGCCGTGTGAGCGGTGTGCCAACATGGAGGCGGCGGTGCCATGCGAACCCTGCCACTGGGGCCATCGGCGGAGCTCCTTCTGGGGCCACGAACCGTGTGACGGGTGTGCCGACATGGAAGCGGCGGTGCCATGCGAACCCTGCCACTGGGGTCTTCGGCGGAGCTCCTTCTGGGGCCACGAACCGTGTGAGCGGTGTGCCGAAATGGAGGCGGCGGTGCCATGCGAACCCTGCCATCGAGGCCATCGGGGAAGCTCCCTATGGTCCCTATGGGGCCACGAACCGTGTCAGGGGTGTGCCGAAATTTAGGCGGCGGTGCTATGTGAACCCTGCCACTGGGGCTTTCGGCGGAGCTCCCTATGGGCCCGCGAAACATTTGAGGGGTGTGCCGAAATAAGCATGCGGAAGCAGCGGCCACTTCAGGTCACGGCATCTCCGAGCCGAGAGATCCGACGACGTGTCAAGCGAAATGGGCTGGACCACCTCTCGTGTAGCGTCTGGGAGCCCAGAATTGCGAGGATGTCTCAGGAGAAGGGGGCCGGACTATCGCAGATCCGGTCTCCTCAAAACGCAAACTTGTGACGATCTATCATGCGAAACGGGCTGGACCACCTCAGCATTTGGATCATATCTCGACGCGCGGGCCTCTCGGGCGGCACTCGTTCTTACCATACCAACGCCCCCCGGCACCGGCTGGGCGACCCGGGGACGCTCCACAACAAATCCTTTATGCCACCAACAAACGAGAACCTCCCGCCATATATATATATACACATATATATATATATATATGTATACACACATACACATACACGTACACATAGCCCGCCTTAGCATCCACTTCTGCGCCCCCTATCCCCTCAGCCCCCCCGCGGTCATCCAAGCAACGCCCCTTCAGGACCCCGGCCGGCGCCGCCTCGCCCTGGCTGCTGGGTTCCGCGGCCCTGGCCGCCGCGTCCGTGGCCAGCGGCAGGAGGCCGGGCCGCGGCCCGCGCCGCGCGCTGCCCGCGGCCACGGCCGTGGTGGAGGCGCCCGCCGCCGCGGCGGAGGAGGCCCCGGAGGCCCCGCCGCCCTTCGACCCGGCCAAGGCCGGCATCGTTGGGCCCACCTCGAGTCGGGGACAGGGGTCCGTGCAAGCGGAGGTCCGTCCGAGCGCCGGTCCTTGCAGTATCCTGCAGTGCCAGGGCTGCACTGGCCCGGTCTTTTGAGTGCGCCAGTCTGCAGGACCCTGGAGGAGTTTGCAGCATCTTGCGCGAGGCCCGACCGACCCGGCTTTGGATGGACCCAGGTCAGTAGGTCCCCGATCGAGGATCGCGCGGGTGGTGCTGGGGGGTGACCTAAAAGCGGGGGGTGAAGAAAGAAGGCCCCCAAGGGGCCCTTCTCTTCACCACCCACTTGGGACCCTCCCCCTCTTACCACGCGCCCAAGAGGAAGGAAGACCGGCACGAGCTCAAGGGAGGACTAGGTGCCGCTACCGCTGCCATTACCCACTTCCTCGACGCCGCGGCCGGATTCGCCGCTGGATCCTGGTGAGAGTGCGCCCTGGGCGTGGCCCAGGGAGAGGCGGCATTGGTCTTTTTGATCTCCCATAGAGAGATTAACTGGTCGAGGGTCCGCGCGGATCTCTTGGGTCTGCGCTGGACCCCCAACGGCGGCGCCTCCGGCGCGGCGAGGTCCAGCGCCGATGCAAGGTATCCGCGCGGGCCTTCGAAAGTTAATGTTATACCGTGTCGTCTTCTTCTGCTGACCCCATCCCCGCTTCGAAAGCACTGGTCCCGCTGCCCGACCTGCCCCCCCCCCGCCCCCCCAGGCGGGGATTGATGCCGGCCCCGTCGGATTTTGCGGCGTCCATCCTGGCCTCGAGGGGGTAGGCTGGTGTCGCCAAGGAACCCTGGCCCGCTGGGGATGGGGATGGGGACGGGCCTGACGATGCCGACAAGGCGGTCGGCGTGACGGCGCCCCTGGGCTACTTCGATCCGCTGGGGTTCTGCCAGGTCGGCGACTACGCAGGCTTCCACAAGCTCCGCAGCTCCGAGCTGAAGCACGGGCGCGTCGCCATGATGGCCGCCTTCGGGACCGCTTTCCAGCACTTCGTGAAGCTCCCGGGCTTCGAGCAGACCCCTGCAGGGCTCGGGGCGCTCACCGACCCTACGGGTGTGCTCGGGTTCACCTGCCTCATCCTCCCCATCGCCGCGTTCACGGAGAGCGTGTACTGGAAGGATGACGATCTGTCCAAGGAGCCCGGCAACTTCGGGGACCCGGGAGACTGGGCGGGGCTCTTCGGCGCCTTCGGCGGCGGCTACAGCGACGAGATTCGGAACAAGGAGCTCAACAACGGCCGCATGGGAATGATCTCGGTCATGGGAATCCTGCTGGCGGAGATTGCCACCGGCAAGGACGGCATCCAGCAGTTCGGCCTCTGAGCGCACCGCGGCGATCTGAGGGTGGATGGGTCACTGCGCTGGTGCTGCTCCCGGCCAGCCCATGAATCGGGCGGGCCGAGGGAGGCGCAGATTCCAGCGGGCTTCTGCTCTGTAGGAGCAGGAGGATTCGAACGGTTTTCGCCGGAAGACGAGCAGGCAGCATGGCGCGGCCCGTCAAGTCTCCTCCGGCCGCACGGCAGTCTGCTGCAGTTTTCGAAGCCCGCTGCGGCTTCAGGAGCTCTTTTCTCGGTCCTCCCCGCCGCTGCTGTGGCCATGGGCTCATGGCTGCCGTACCGCCTGCCGGGGCGCGGAAAATCTTGGCCGCGCAGTCGTCCGCCAGGCCGCAGTGCCAGCGGCAGTAGGCGCAGCGCAGGGCAGCAAACCCAATGCAAAGAACAGGGAACCTAACGCACAGAACCGCAAGTCCCACGGACAGGCAACAATGTGAGCCGAACAGCAGGGCGCAATTTTGAAACGAAAAATTAAAGAAGAGACAAGTGCGACCTGCTGGCGGCGTTCCTCAGACAGTGCTCGCGGCTAGGGGGTCTTTGCGCGTTCCACAGGGACCGTTGCGCACCGCGCGTGACAGGGTTCGACTGTTTGGAGGTCCGCGACGCAGGGAGACGATGCAACCGCGTAGCGTTGCGCCCGTCTGTCCTTTCGGGGGGGGGTCTTCTACTGGCGACTCCCATGCGCCGCGGCTGGGAAGCCAATGGCAAGGGGCCTTCTGGCCGCGGAGAAGTCTCGGAGATGCGGCGTTGGGGGGTCCTCGGCATGGGGGGGTCCTCGGCAGTGATTGGGCCGAAGGCGGCGTTGGGGAAATCTCCGGCCCCAGTCTCGCTACCCCCTCGCGGGTGCCGTGCGGGGTTGGCCGGCGCTCCCGGGAGATCCCGGGAGAGTATCCAAAGTTTGCAGCTAGGCTCACTCACTCCATCCTGTCTCCTTCGGGTCGGGTCAGGCCCCGGGGCCTCGTGGGGAGGGGCCGGGCCCGCGAGGGCCGCGGTTCGGCCGGCTCCGAGCTCAGACCAGGTCGGCGGGGTGTCTGGGGGCGGCAGGATCCCTGCGAGATCGTCGAGCCGAGGGTCCCGGGTGCTCCGGGCGGTTCCGCCCCCCCCCCCCCCCCTGATGGGTGCGATGGGAATGCCAGGGCTACGGGTAGGTGGGGTAATGTCCAAAACCGGACACAAGAATGATGACCCCCCCCTCCCCCCCCCCGGATCCCGCCTGCCATTAATTCGCATCCGAATACATATTTTCTTCCAACCATCCTGTGGTGATGAGTCCTCGTTTTGAAGAGACAGCGCCCCGCGTTCCTTCCTCCTCCCGCTTTTCCCTCCCCCACCTCCCTCCTCCTCCTCATTGCCTCTGCTCTCGGCACACCCCTCACGCGCTTCGTGGCCTCATAGGGAGCTCCACCGAAGGTCCCAGTGGCACAGCCCGCATGTGGTTCCTCCACCCAGGGCAGCGTTTCGCGGCCCCATAGGGAGCTCCACCGGAGGCCCCACTGGGGATGTTCGCATGCGGTTCCCCCACCCAGGGCAGCGTTTCGTGGCCCCATAGGGAGCTCCACCGATGGCCCCAGTGGGGGTGTTCGCATGCGGTTCCCCCGCCCAGGGCAGCGCTTCGTGGCCCCATAGGGAGCTCCACCGAAGGCCCGAATGGGGGTGTTCGCATGCGGTTCCCTTACCTAGGGCAGCGTTTCGTGGCCCCATAGGGAGCTCCACCGAAGGCCCAATTGGGGTTGTTTTCGCATGCGGTTCCCCCGCCCAGGGCAGCGCTTCGTGGCCCCATGGGGAGCTCCACCGAAGGCCCCCGTGGCGCAGTTCGCATGCGGTTCCCCCACCCAGGGCAATGCTTCGTGGCCCCATAGGGAGCTCGAGCGAACGCCCCAGTGGTTGCTCTCGCATGCGGTTCCCCCGCCCAATGCAGCGTTTCGTGGCTCCATAGGGAGCTCCACCGAAGGCCCCACTGGCGCAGTTCGCATGCGGTCCCCCCACCCAGGGCAGCGCTTCGTTGCCCCATAGGGAGCTCCACCGAAGGCCCCAGTGGCGCAGTTCGCACACGGTTCCCCCTGTGATATGGATGGCGCGCGCGGCGCGACGATCTTTAGGCGAAAGAGAGCGCTGCTCAATCTATCTGCGTAGCTCTAAGGCCAAGGGCCCTAGTTCGAAACAAAACGGCAGCGGCACGAGCGGGCGTGAGGGATAGAGCGGGGATGCAGGAAGTGCACGGGGAGTGAGCGGGAATCACACTCCTCCTGATTGACGCTCGCGGCGCCGTCGAGCGACGATCATTGATCGCAGCTCACTTCATTAATCAGAGCGCTCTCAAAACAAACACAGGCAAACGGCCCTGTCGGCATGCTATCCGGCTGCCCCGGGGCATTTAACGGGTGCTGCTACACGCACCGGCAAGAAAAACATAAATTCTCAAAACGAACAGCGGCGCGAGTCCGATCGCTATGCGACAAAACTCAAATAGCGCTGTCTTATCAAAATGAAATCTCAATAGTGTGGTCGTCACCACATGAAAGGAAATCTGTGCACACTGAATGAAGCTTCGAACAATGCGGACTAGCGTAGTATGCCACAGGGTGTGGCGCCAAATGTAAAGAAAAACAAGCTGGTAAGACAATTCGGATTTGCGCAATCTGCCACACGATGTGGCTCCAGGTGTAAAGGAAACAAGCTGACAAAGCGGTGCGGACTGACGTAATCTGCCACAGGATGTGGCGCCAAATATAAAACGAGCTAACAGAGCAATGCGGATTTACATAATCTGCCACAGGATGTGGCGCCAAAAATAAAACGACGGCGTGCTCACGAAATCTTCTTTTGAGCTTTCGCCTTGCCGGGCAGTCCTTGTAGCTGCCTCCATCTGTTCTGTAAATCCCAGCGCAGACTATTGTGCATCCTCGAGAAATCTGGCTCATGGGTCACATAATTCCTGCGTAGCCATGAAGCGTGTTTCCTGCACGTCCTGCAGGTGATGTAGACACTGTGTGCGTTGTGTCCCACGCGTATGTTGTGCTCGGCGGCCACACATGCGTTCATCTCTACTGGCGGAACCGTTGGCGTCGATCCGTTCCAAGAAACCACGCTGGCTGACGAGGAACTGGTAACCGTCATCGGGGAAGATGGCGACGAGCTGGCTCCCTGCGCGAAGCTGTCCGGTGATGGGGGCGGTGCGGCTGGCGCTGCCGATCCGCTTGCTGATGATGAACTCTGGGCTGCGACGGCAATCATCGGCGGCTCCATGTAGACGTCTCCGTCGACGTCTTCGGGAATGGTAGTCGGTACATTGTTACGACGTCCGAGGTATCGTCCATCCCATCCTGGATATATTCCGGGCAAGGGGGTGTCCGCGTGCCCGGAGTGATCAGCCTTGGACCCATTGCTGGTGTTGTTGATGGTCCCGATCTGGATGGGATTGGGGTCGCCTGGCCCAAATATCTCCTTTCGCACCACAAACCACAGCGCTGCGAATAATGTAAATCCAATCATGATCCCACTGAGCATCGCAATTAATGTCATGTAGTAGATCCAATGTGACATCGGCACTTGCCATTCCTGTGGGGGATGCTGTGCCTTCACGCGTCCGAGACATGTCATCAGTACTGAGGCAAGCATGGCGGCGTGCGGTTGCCTAGTGCCGAAATTGTACTTCTTGGCCCCGAAGAAAGCGAGGAGCACTCCGGTCTCCATGGTCTTGGTGAGCGCGTCGGCGACCATACTCCACGTAGGTATCCACGAGAGCTTCAGCTGGCTGTTGGGGTGCACCGTCTCCTTAATCATTGATGCCACGATGCGGAACCGCTTGTCCGTGGATTGACCCACGTCAGACTTGATGTGCGTCACCAGGCCGTTGCTGTCGCTATAGATCTCCCCGGATCGTTTGGTGCTGAGGTCATCGATCTGCTTGAGCGTCTTCTTCGGGTTGTAGGCCTCCGTAAGTAGCTGGCCGAACCACGTGCTCGATTCGGCGCCCTCCAGAGTGGCGTAGCCCTCGGCGGCCAGCGTCGACTTCACGGATCGCTTGACCGTGCCCGAATGCCAGGCCACAGGCAAGCACAAATCATATCGTCCAGCCACGACGTCCCGTGGCTTGTGGGTTAGCCCGATCGCCATGCCCCACTGGCTCTTCACCCCGTCCACATTGGCGAAGGCCGCGTCGCTGAAACAGACGATGGTGCAAGTGCGCAGGTCGATGATGTTGCGCTTGATGACTATGGCGAAATCGGCGGACCCGTGCACGTAAGCGACGGTCTTGTTCAGCGTCTTGGCGTCGGCCACGGTGGCGGTGTTGGTGCGGCGAGCCGCAAGGCTCACCGGGCAGGCGATGTCCACTCGCGTCTGTACTGCGAGCCAAAGCAGTTGGCCGAGTGTGTGGCGATATCCTGAGACCTCCGAGGTGGTAAGACGATCCTCTGGTGATCGTCCACGTTGGGCGTTGAGTTCGATGAAATCCACTTGGGCGGCGGCCGTCGCCTGGGTAATGCGGAACTCCTCGTTGGTCTTGTTGATTGTCCGGCCGCAGTACTTGATGATGCCCTCTACCTTCTTGAGGTGCAGCCTTTTCTGCAAGGAGCTAATGACTCGCTTCCACTCGCTGGAGCTTCCGCGCTGGGCGATGAGGAAATCATCCACATGGGAGTGGATCATAGCAGCGAGCCCTTTGTCGTCGTAGAAGTAGTAAAGGCCCTTCTCGAGCTTGCTCTCGATGAGGCCGTGCTCTTGGAACACCTTTTGGGCGTAGAGGTACCGCTGGCGTCCGGCATCCCGGGTGCCATAGATGGCGCCAGTCGCCATCACGATCTCGCCGGGCGATGTACGTGGCGGCGGGTTCTTGGCTGGCATGCGCAGCAATAGTAGCCTCTCGATGTTGCCCGACTGCAGGTAAGCCGTCATCGCGTCGTACGACGTGAGGTCCCAGCCAAGCTGGGCGGCGGCAGCAAGAGTGAGGTAAAGCGCGTCCCTTGACCCGGTCGGCGCGTCCGTACGGATTTGGGACTTGTCCTCCTGACAGCCCTGGACGACAAGGCGGGCCTTCATGAGGTTGGCGGCCTTCTGCGTGAGCACCCAGCGGGTACCAACTGGTCGTATTCCAGGGTGTCGCTGGAAGATCTCCTTCAACTCCTTGGGCGGTAGCTTCTTGTAGGCCCCGAACTCGGTCCACTTGGGCCACTCAACCTCCATGGCCATGTCCATGAGCTTCTTGTCCTTGGCGGAGAGCTTGTCGTACCTGATCTCCTTGGCAGCGGCCTTTCCGGTGAGCATCACCTCCCGGAGTCGGATGGTCGAATGCGAATCGCCGTCGTTGATCTCAAAACAGTTGTCCAAGTAGAGGTCGGTCCTGAGTGTGTCTTTCGGCCTCTTGAAGCACTTGGGTAGGTCGTCCTTGAGACTCTCTAAGAATTCCTTGCGCTTAATGGCTTTGCTGCGGTCGTCTGTTTGATCGTGTCTGTCACGTTCGAGGGCGC